TGGCGGGCTGCGAAGATCATATCCGTGGTCCCACGATGACGACGGAAGCCGCATTGGCTTTCCGGCAGAAGGCCCTGTTCCAGATGGATGTTGAGGCGGTTGAGCAGGATGCGAGCGAAGATCTTCCCGGCGATGTTCAGTATGGAGATGCCGCGGTGATTGTCGCAGACTTGGCGATTCCCTTTTCGCTTGTATAGGTGCACGATAGTTGCGTCCTTGAAATCTTGCGGTGGGATGGATCTCCGAATTGGCACCGTCGACACGCGCCCATCTGGTGCACCGTAGGAGACCGCAGGCTTGCGGCAATGCCGTAAGCCATTGGCAAATTCGAGTCGTTCTTCCACTGCCAAAAAATCTCGTGGTCCACAGTGGATTTCGGCCGCGCCGGCACATCAAGCAGCCCCTATTCAGGGGTCAGGGCACTGCTTCCTGAAGCTGGCCTAAAAATTGCTGGGGATCCACGTCGTCTGCTGTCGCACCGTGGTCGCAGACTCAAAACTCACGGTCGAAACAATCAAACTCGAAACAACAACAACAACCATACTCATTCTCCTCATCCTACCTCTTCTACCTCTACCTCCGTCTATTCTTCTGTCTATTTTTCTCCTTCGTCGTCTTCTTCTCCACCTCCTTCCCGTCGCCCCACTCGTTTTCCCCAGACTGACAGGGTGAGCCCGCTCACTCTGGCAGCTTGGAATGTTCGTTCACTTTTAGACAATCCGAGGAGCAACCGACCGGAACGGAGGACGGCGCTAGTGGCACGAGAACTGGCGCGCTACAAGGTGGACATCGCCGCACTCAGCGAGACCCGATTCTCCGAACAAGGCCAACTGGAGGAGGTGGGTTCCGGCTACACCTTCTTCTGGAGTGGTCGACCCAGGACAGAGCGACGAGACGCGGGCGTCGCCTTTGCCATCCGGACCGACATCGTGGGACGACTGCCCTGTTTGCTGCAGGGAATCAACGATCGCCTGATGAGTCTCCGCCTGCTTCTCCGGCGAGGACGCAAATTCGCCACCATCATCAGCGCCTACGCTCCGCCGATGAGCAGCCCTGACGCAGCCGCAAGAGACAAATTCTACGAGGACCTGCACGCTCTCTTGGCGACTGTGTCGAAGGCGGACAAGTTGATTGTCCTTGGTGACTTCAACGCCCGCGTCGGTACAGACCATACTGCCTGGAGAGGAGTGCTGGGTCCCCACGGTCTCCGCGGCTCAAACGACAACGGGCTGCTTCTCCTCCGCACCTGCGCAGAACACCGCCTCATCCTGACGAACACGTTCTTCTGTCTGCAGGAGCGAGAGAAGGCCACCTGGAGGCATCCTCGGTCGCGTCAGTGGCACCTGCTGGACTATGTCCTCGTCCGGAGGCGAGATCAGAGGGACGTGCTGGTGACGAAGGCGATTGCGGGTGCTGACGGGTGGACCGACCATCGCCTCGTCATCTCGAAGATGCGTATTCGCCTACAGCCTCGCAGGAGACCACAAGGTAAGCGACCCCCAGGTAAGCTGAATGTTGCTTTGTTGTCTTTGCCTGCTCACCGTCTCCATTTCAGCAATGAGCTAGCTCAACGGCTAGACAACCTTCCTATCGCTGCCGCCGCCGATGACGACGCCGCTGCCGAGAACGCCTCCGTGGAGAACCGCTGGTGTCAACTGCGAGACACGGTCCAGTCGACGGCGCTCGCCGTCCTCGGTCGCGCTCCCCGCCAACACCAGGACTGGTTCGACGACAACGACGCCGCCATCAGAAATCTGCTCGCTGAGAAGAAGCGCCTACACAAAGCCTACGTAGATCACCCCACTGAGGACAACAAAGCTGCCTTCTACCGCAGTCGCCGCCAGCTCCAGCAACGACTGCGCGAGATGCAGGATGCCTGGACTGCTCGCAAAGCTGAGGAGATCCAAGGCTACGCGGACCGCAACGAATGGAAGAACTTCTCCACCGCGATCAAAGTTGTCTACGGTCCGCCGACGAAGGGCACTGCTCCTCTCCTCAGCGCCGACGGCAGCACTCTCCTGACTGAGAAGACGCAAATCCTACAGCGATGGGCCGAGCATTTCCAGGGCGTCCTCAACCGCCCTTCCGTCATCTCCGACGCCGCCATCGCCCGCTTGCCGCAAGTGGAGACCAACGTGGACCTCGACCTCCCGCCATCTCTCCAGGAGACCATCAGGGCCGTGCAGCAACTCTCCAGCGGGAAAGCACCCGGATCGGACGCAATCCCTGCTGAGGTCTACAAGCACGGAGGTCCCATACTGATGGATCACCTGACTGCGCTCTTCCAGGAGATGTGGCGTCAAGGTGAAGTCCCGCAAGATTTCAAGGACGCACCTATCGTGCACCTATACAAGCGAAAAGGGAATCGCCAAGTCTGCGACAATCACCGCGGCATCTCCCTACTGAACATCGCCGGGAAGATCTTCGCTCGCATCCTGCTCAACCGCCTCAACATCCATCTGGAACAGGGCCTTCT